CAACTGCGTGAAACACACAGTAGTATAAAACTTCAACTGCGTGAAATACGCAGCAGTATGAAAATTCGGCTGCTGGAAACACAAACTTCACGCATGCGTGGAGTGTATGGAGTGTACGGGAGTGATTCACGCAATGGTGCGAATAATCACCGGCCTTGAATTATCTCGATCACGAGTGACTTCTTTTGTAGGAAGTTAATGATCTTGAGGTTGAAGTTTAGTTATTTTATGCAAAATAGGCAAAACGTAAGTTTATTAAATTATATAACATATCAATTTAATATTGTCCATTCAATTTATATATCTAGCAATACAAAATTCCCATGCACAACCCCAATTATTGAATTATGTGATGATCAGTCAGTTTCTTCAGGATGAGAGAATCTTTTGTTTACAAAATTTCAAAAATTGCGAAAAAATTTCAATTTCTCCTCCCAAAACCTCTCGTTTTTGGCATAAAATTTCAATTCTCAACAACGTGACGTCAATTTTCAATTTCCTTTTCAAAAAATAAAAAAATCAAGACTCAAATTCATCGAATAGAAAAATCCAAGAATCCGCCTTACCATCATGATGCATGAGTTTCCCCGCCTCAGTTCTCTGCTTCATATCGTACAGATAAATCGAGTCATCAGCACCCCCAGACGCCAAGTAATGTTTCCTAGCCGCCACAGTCCTTATGCTAGCCAGATGGCTGTGTGTAGCAAAACTCCTCTCCAATTTGCACTTCTGCAACAAAAACACCAGCAAAACATAACCTCCACGTCCTCAAGAGAACTTATTCTCCTCAATTTATCTCATTTCACCCTCGACAACTACCTTATCCACTTTTTCCACTTTGTACCCCAGCAAAAACTGTTCATAAGTGCCAATAATCACTTCAAACAACGCCATAATCACCCAGAAACCCTCAACAATAAAAAACCTATTCACAGCAATACGAAACACGTGTTTTTGGCATGAGAAACAACACAAGCCACTGGAGACTCATTGCCGGCGTTGCCAGGTCGTCAGAAAAGCGGAAGGAGTGGGGATGAAGGCGGGAGTCTACGGAACGGTTTCAAAAGTCTTTCGCACATTTCATTGAAAAACTGAATTGAGTTCCTTCCAACGATTGTTCAATCTTCAATAAATTTCTGATTGTAGATACAAAATGACTGTGATTTTTAAGATTGCGCAATATGACCAAAAATGGTCATAAAACGGTCATTTGACAGAGAAATTTTCCAACTAAAAATGATCGTCACAAATAATTTGTATGCAAATTGATGTCAAACCATTTGCATAAAAGTGTATAATGATTGTTATAACTCATTTCGAATTGGTAACGGTCATAAATAAAAAAAAATAGATTGATCTGTATATGAAAAATGCCCGCGATTTCCATTTCAAAATGTGCATCAAGTCAATACACACCTTGAATACTAAATAATGAAGTGAATGAATGAATTTTCTGGTGAGATAGTACACCATGAAATCAAATAAAAATCGATGATGAGAAAAAGAAGTTGAATCTGTATAGATGAAGCATCACTATCATTTGATGCAGAAATTTACCAACTAAAAATGATAGTCACAAATAATTTGTAGGCAAATTGATGTCAAACCATTTGCATAAATGCATAATGATCGTTATAATTCATTTCGAATTTGTAAAGATTATAAATTAAAAAAAAAAATTGATTGATCTGTATATGAAAAACGCCTGTAATTTCCATTTCAAAATGTGCATTAAGCCACTCAACACCATGAATAATAAATAATGAAATGAATGAATGAATGAATGAAATGAATGAATGCATTTCCTGCTGAGATAGTACACCAGTAAATCAAATAAAAATCGATAATGAAAATAAGAAGTTGCATCTGTATAGATGAAAAATGACTGTAATTTTTTCTGGGCACATGCCGGGGGGTCGGGGTATTGTGACAGCCGTCAAATGACGGGTCATGTGACGCATTTGCTTCTCTAATTAGAATAGCTAATTTTACTAATATGTTTACATTACGATGATTAAACAGTCTTTTCGATACCTAGAAGATGACAACAGCAAATGTGTTACTCGCCCCCGCACCCCTCGTTCGCGCCATGAGATAAACCCGATGACCCCCGGAAACGTCCGAACACGTGCGCAGAAATCAATACCGCCATACTTGAAAAGATCGGGCCATTTGACGGGCCCGTCGAGAGTACAAATAAAAAAATATAGACAAAAAAACGTTGCACCCGGTGGAGGAGATTCCGATCTGGTGCTCCAGCGCCGAGACAGTGCATCTGCCCCATCCCCGTCGGGTCAACGAGTGAAAAGGGAATTGTCGGGGTACAATGGAGCCCTGAAGACAAGTGTCTCCTCTGACTGACAATAGTGCGACGTTGAGGACAAATCGGGGAAAACATGGATGAAAACCTCAGTCGGGGTTACGTGCAGCTTGGCAAGGCGAGGGGTATGAACGAGTTCAAGTTCAACAATGGGCTTAATCATCTCACACCCCCGGTTGATCGCTGTGGCTTTATTTATCTCGCGCTTATACTCGCTGGTGTGGGATTCCTTCTACCTTATAACAGGTAATTTTCGTGGACTTCGGTGGGATTTCGTGAGGAAGTTCTGTGGGAATTTCTTGGAGGGGAAGGGTGTAGAGCAAAATGCTGGGGGAATTTTTTTGTTGGGAATTTTGGGGACTGCGGTTTTGGGGGAGAAAGGTTTTGCGAGACAAATACCGGTTTTGGTTGCGTTCTTTCAAGTTTTTGAGATGATCATCTTGTGAATCTCTGGGGAAGGACGAGGTTCAGAGAAAATTTCCGTAGACCTTTTTTGGAGAGAATTTCATGGGCTACGGAAAGGGTTTGATGACATTTTATCAATACCGGTTTTACTTCCTTTCTTTGAAGTTTTAGAGATGAGCATCTTGCGGATCTCTGAGGAAGAACGAGGTTCGGAGAAAATTTCCGTTGACCTTTTTTGAAGAGAATTTTATAGGCTACAGAAAAGGCCTAATCACATTTTTTTATAAACTCATTATTTTTGCAGATAAAATGTTTTTTTCAGACTGTTTCTTCAAAGCTGGGAATTTTATGCTCCATAACCGGATTATGTTGCAAATATATTTACAATTGAAAGGTTTGCAGAAAATATCAGAAGATTTTTCTAGTGGAGAATTTTATAGACTACAAAAAGCACTTTTTGCCTTTCTTTGATGACTTCATTGGCTTCAAAAATTGTCTCTTCCAAAACAAAATAATTTTTTTCAAATAACAATTTTGCGTTCTTCATTTAGATTATTCTACAAAGATCTTTTGATACATTGTGAGTTCCAAATGTGTTAAACAAAACTGTTTAAGTGAATGATTTAGTTTCGAGGATGATGGGGCAAAATGGATATTTGATTTATTTTCGATTTTTAAAATTCCGGAGTAAATCTATGAATGCAGCTCAGTCTAGGGTTGTCACGAAGGGAATGGATTGTACTTTCCACTGAAGAAAAAATTATTTCGTGTCATTAAAAATTCAATGAGTCACTAAAATTTGAAACAAAGTCACTAATTACCATTTTGCCCCAGCCACCCTTATGTCTCCAAAACGAAAGAGTTCAACAGAAAATATTGAGGAAAATATTGAATTTCAAGGGCTAAAATAAAGTTCTCCTTAATTATTTTTGAAGATTTTTCTCAAAAACTCATAATTTCCTCTTATAGCTTCATCAGCGCCGTTGATTACTTCCAAACTCGCTACCCAGGCACAACAATCGTCTTTGACATGTCCGTTGTTTATATAACAATGGCATTCTTCGCTGTTTGCGCTAACAATATTCTTGTAGAGACGGTCTCCCTCAACACGAGAATTACCTTCGGATATTTAGTGTCCGTCGTTACACTCAATTTCGTGCTTATCTCGGAGATCTGGTGGGAGTTCTTTGGGGTGACTTCCTCGTACACTATCAATTTGATTGCTGTCGCTGTTGTGTCAGTCGGATGTACAGGTGAATATAATCGAATGAATTCGAGGGAACTCATTCGCTCGGAAGAATTCTCGTGACCTTTTCAGACTGATTGACATGATTGATTAATTATTGTTTTTAATTATAGTGCAACAATCGAGCTTTTATGGGTACACTTCGATGCTACCGAGCCGATATACACAGGCAGTGATGACTGGAGAAAGTGAGGAACTAATAATCTCCTTAAACTTCTTTGTTATTCTTCCGTTAATTATGGAACATCATGAAATTAATTCCGAAATAAACAGAATACGTCAATTCGAATTAATAAAAATTTTTTTTTTTGAGAATTTCTCGGTTTTTGAGAGAGATCGGGATAAAGAGCTATTTTCTTCTCACGACAATTTTCACGGAATGAAATTTAACAACGTGTGAAAAAAATCAGCAAAACTTCACGCTTTCTATTGAAATTTGGGCGATTTTGAAATAGACGTTTGATAAGAAAAAATCAATAGTTTTTTATTTTTCGATATGAATTATTGATTTGAAATTTTAGCTGTAGACATTGTTTAATATGGGTGTTTCAAATTATTTCACTGTATTCTTTTATAATACACTTAAAATTGAAGGGGAAAAGCTTCGAGAATTCATGGAAAAAATGGAAAATGCTCACAGAAAAAATCTCAACGGAATGAATTCCATAGAAAAATTAACATCTATTGACACGAAAATGTTGCATAATTTTTAGTAGAATTCTTATACGGTTCCGATAGGATTTCTCAACGAGAGCACTAGGTTTTTCTACCAATTTTTTTTTCAATAGGGGGCGTCGTCCCTTGCTCGCTTCGCTCACCAATCCCGGGCGGGCTGCGCCCCCCGCTAGTGAATTATATCGAAAATGACCTCCATTTAAACCCCATACGACCTTCATATGTCCCCCTTATCACTCTCGTGACCCTTATTTTCACACTCGTGACTCTTATTTTGACCGTTGTAACCTTATTTTAACCTTCGTGATACTTATTTTGACCTTCGTGGCACTTATTTTGACCCTTGTGAACCTTGAAAATCTCTGCGTCATCTTAATTTACAAAATTATTATACAGAGCGATATGTGGAGCTCGAGATTTGAAATATTTTCTTTGCACATCTTTTCAATAGAAATTTTCCCAAACGATTTTGTTCTCTACAAAAAAAAACCTCGAGAAATTTTAGTCCTCTCCGTCAAATTCGGAGATATTAATGCGAATTAAAGTTGCGCCACTTCACAATTAAATTCTTCTCATAAATTAATTCAAGGTGCTGCTGGTTTCTGGGTGTCGATGAATCGAATAATAACAAAATCCCTAGTGGACGACGAGCGTGGAAACACATCAATGTTCTTCGCCCTGTCCATCATGACGATATGTCTCTGCTCAGTTCTCCACAGGATTCTGAGGAAAACTGAATTTGTGCAGTTCTACGTGAACCTCTGCCAAGAGCGGAATAAAATAACCCTGGAGCCCACCGAAGATGTGGGACTAGTAAGTGAAGTTTCAGATAATGCGAAGACAAATTCCCCTTCACTTCGTGATGCTTTTTGATGTTTCCTTGAAAGATGGACCCACTGGACCAGGTCGGGGACCCCTCCAAGGGTCAGTACGGGGTTCTGAAGCTCCAGACGAGTCCCCTGGGGCCGGAGGCCACCCCTGGAGACGCCGGCGGGGCGCAGTACTCGGCTTTCTCATTCAGCAATCCCGTTTACGAACCCAATGCACCTTCTGGAAACGCGCCTGGAAGTGCTGGACCCACTTACAAGGTTGAGGATGTCGTCGTGATGAAGGGGACTTATGGGGGACAGGGGAGCAAACCCTGGTCGGGAATCAAACGTAAGCCCACGTGCGAAAAAATTGAACTCAAAAATGTAGCGAATTTCGTAAAGAATTCTATTGAAATTCTATTGGAAATTCCATTAGTTCTTGACGGATTCTCGTGGAGTTTCGCAGCTTTACTGCAGGTTTTTTTAATAGGAAATCTAAATAAATGTGTAGAATTTAATCTTTTTACTACACTGAGAGAAAAACAAACATGTTGTCAAACAAGTCTTGTTTGGGCCAACAAAATCGCTAGTTGAAAATTGCCAAAAAAGAATTTGTTTGGTTCGAATTTGAAATACGTATGGGAGTATCGAATAACGAAGGAGTAGTGCTAAAAATTGCATTTCTTGCATATACCGAGAATGCAATTTTTTTTTAACTACTAAATCTATTTTTGCGACAAAAATTTTTCACTCCGGCGTACTCTCTCCACATTTGGCACAAAAAATCCTTTTTTGATAATTTTCCAAAAACTATTTTCTTGGCACGAGTAAAACTTGTTTGGGAACTTTGTCATTTTTCTCTCAGTGTAGCGCGGCGCCTACGGCGCGACCAACGGAGTGTTAATAAAATACAATAAAATGAATGTCTCAATAGAATATTTTCTATTGACCACTGAAAATTGCTGTTGATAAAAAAACGCGCAGATAACGTGTGAAATTTTCCAATAAAATCGACTAAAAACTTGGGAAATTGAATAGAAATCCAATAGAATTTTTTACCGAATTCATTAAGTTTTTGTGAATACACGTTTGTAGCTGTCAATTGTATATGCATAATCGCCATTATCATCACCATTTCTTTTCGAGATAATTCTCTTCATAACATTGATTTGTTCTATTCTCCCCACTTCGACCCTTCAAACCCCACCAAAGTCCACCCCAACTAACGGTCTCCCGTGACTCCCGCAGGAGGGCTGCTAGCGAGGCTGGAAGTAGCCAAACTGATCTTTCCCTACATGGGAAGTATCGGCATAGCCTACTTCGTGACCCTCAGTCTCTACCCAGGAATAGTCTCGGAGATAATCTCCTGCAAGTTCGAGTCCTGGATGCCGGTGATCCTGATGGCGACGTTCAACGGCGCCGATCTCCTCGGCAAGATGCTGGCGTCCATCCCCTACGAATGGACGAGAAGCCAGCTCCTCTACTTCTCCGTAGCAAGGGTGGTCCTCATCCCCCTGTTCCTCCTGTGCGCAATTCCCAGGCAGAATCCCATTCTCGCCGGTGAGGGGTACCCCCTGCTGTTCTCCTGGCTCCTGGGGCTGACCAACGGCATCGTGGGGAGTGTTCCCATGATCCAGGCACCCAGCAAAGTCCCCGAGGAGCACAGGGAACTCACCGGAAACATCATGACCCTGTCCTATACCACTGGACTCACCCTCGGCTCTTTCCTCGCTTACGTTCTGGACGCTTTCCTCGGGCAGCCCATGACCATCAAGCAACTCTGCCCCAAGGCACTACCAACTGTCATCGGCAACTCCAGCATGACCACAGTGACGATGATTGCGAGCACCACTCAAGCCACTGTTAAAAAGATCACGAAAATTCCAAGCCTCAGGAGCACTGCAACCACTGCATTGACGACCTTTTTCACTACCTCAGTCGTTGCTAACACGACTGTCGGATTACTCGAGACTGTTGCCTTCAACTCCACCACGGCCATGCCTGTGGTACTCGCTAATGCATCATCCACCATCAGCAATGCTATTCTTCAGCATTAAGGGGTGGGTTTAGGGGTAGATTCTTCGATTTCTCTTGGTTCGGGTTTGTATGGTTTTAGGGGTCTTTTAGTTATACTTCCAGTACAAAACACATATCTGAGGCTTTCGTGGATTTTTTGGGGTGCGGGTTCAATGCATATCTTTTTGGGGGTTTCTTGGGGTTTCCGGGGGGATTTGAGGGGGAGATTGGGAAGTTGGGGGGGAGGCAGAAGTATCAATCGTGTTCGAGGATGTCGATGATTCATAGTCAATCGATTGGGTTGATTATGCGCGTTTGGTATATTTAGGATATCCAAGTATCTTTCGGATTTTTTTTTAAGAAATCGGTTTTTAGTGAAGTTTTGAAGGTAGATAAATTTGTTACGATTTTAGGAGACTCCCGCTCGACAATGAAACTGTGAGATTGAGAGTGCCAGAAAATTTGGCGACGCAGTCGGGAAGCGAGCCCGCACGGAGAGAAATATTCAAGAAAAATAACGGAACATTTCACGTGATCCGCAAGCGAGAATCGTTTTCAGTGAATTTCTATAGGAATATAAGAGAATAAATCTGATACGTTCAGTAAATTTTCGGGTCTGTCACCGAAAAAATACGAAAAAGTCACGTAATTTTAATGGAAGTTGTAAAATCTAACAGAAACTTCAAGACTTATTATGCCTCAGAACATGAAGATTCTTGGATGTTTAAGAATTTTTACGAAAAGTTCCGGAAAAATTACGGAACGTGTTGTTGAAATCTCCCCCTCACGGTGACTCATGGCTAGCCGTGAGGCGTCGGACGGATGAGTAATTTTTACGGAACAGATCGTAGAATTTACGTGACGATTGACACTTTTTATTGAATTTTACTTCGCTCCCAGATTACGTTTCTAAACGTAATTTTTACGTCTTTTTTTGGTAATTTTTATTGAATATTTCTCTCCGTGCGGATCGCCGCGTGCCAATCCCACACACGGAGAGGAATGGTCAATAAAAATTACGTATCTTTTCCGTAATTCTGGAGCGAAATGTGGTTGTAGGAAATTTTACGGAACTGTCACGGAATTTTTCCGGTGCATTCCGTAATTTTTCTCTGAATCTCTGGTGAAAATTATGATACCGTCACTAAATGTTCTGAGTCGATTCCGTAATCGGTGTGCGAATTGTGAGTTCCGTAATTTTTACTGAACAGTTCTCTCCGTGCAGCCACGGCCGTCAGTTAATTGCAAATTATTGTTTACAAATTTTTTATGGATAAGTCGTAATCCCCAAAAATGAAAATTTTTCAATTACTTCATACATTTTTTTCAAAAAATAGACTTCCCAATTTTTTTATATTTTCACATTCGAAGAATGATTTCCAACGGTTCAACATAGAAAATTGAATTTAGACTTTCAAAATTTAAATCATGAAGTCATTGCAAAATCCTTGGTGTGTTGAGGTTGAATAGGGCGATAATTTGTTGTTTATAAATTATTCACGAAAAGCTCCTCATTTGCGAAAACTGTAATTTCCCAAATGTCGGAAAGAATTTCAATGAAACAAAGTTGCCGAAGTACTTGGATATTGTTTAAAGAACTCCTAAGAATATATTTCGATACGTTTTTCATCACTTGTGCGTAAAGTGAACTTTATGCACGCCGTGCGGAAAACAGCTGCTTTGCGCACACTAAACTGTTTCGAAAAGTGCAGTTTTGAGGCAGGTATCACAAAAACACTTTACGCACTTAAATCAAAATATAAAAAGGTGTGTGTACCCTCCCAAGCGTCAAAGTACACTTTTCCGACGAGTGTCAACCTCTATTTTTCATCACAATGTGTAGCAAAACTTCACTTCACGCACAAGTGATGAAATAGTATATTTTTAACCTAGGGAGGTAAAATAAGGAATAAGTCGTGCCCATGTGTGGAATTAACACCCGAGCCGAAGGCGAGGGCACGTGGGTAAGAGTCCTTTATTCTACTACCCGTGGTTAGAACAATATTTTTCGCCCCGTCGGGACGAAAACAAGTTTTTCGATAACTTATTCTTCACAGGAACTGTTCCACCGGATATCCTCAATAAAAAAATCATTGAATTTTTTCCACTTGTATCTTCCTAGAAATTTCTATGATCCGTCGACTTAAAATTGTTTCCCTCAGTTACATCGTGATTAAAATAAAATCTAGCCAACTCTGGGAAATATTATTTTTTTAATAATAAATAAAACAATAATAATAACGAGGCTAAAAATCATTCACCGATTCGATAAAAACACCAATGTATTTTCGAAATTCGAAATATTGGAGGTACGTTTCAATGAGGACAAATAAATTACGAACTAAGTCGTTATTGCGAGTTATTAATATTCGAAATGAAAATTGCACGTTTAAAATGGGTAAATAATTATTATTGTATGTATAAAAATGAAATCACACAAATGATGATAAATCAAAAACCATTGAATTGAAATAATAAATAAAATTACATAAGAAAAATTGATAATTCAATGAATACTCTCATCAATTCTAAGGGAGTGATGTAACATTGTGAGTTTCACGGGAGACACTTCCACATTATGTTGGTAATTACAATGGCATTGTACTTGTTGATAACGTCCTAAGTTCGTGAGATGGGTATTGTTTATCGAGAGCCCGTGGCTAATCGGTATGTACAAATAAAATAAATCTATGATGATTCATTTAATTGAAGAATACTTTCTGTCTGATCTCCTGAGGGGCCTCTCGTTCTGGGTAACTGCGGAGTTTTGGGGAGTGGAGGAGGAGCTTATCAGGGCTTTTTTTATTTTTATCACAGTCGGACCTTCCGGCGGAAGGGTTATTTGAGGTACTTGGCCGCCCAGTCTGTCCTGCCGTGGACTCCACCGCTGGGACGTGACGTTAACACACTTCCGAATAAATTTGGCTGGATAATTGATTTGTTCGATGCTTCTGGAGAGAGAAAAAAATTTTTTTATCATGAGGAATTCATGACTGGGAATTCACGAGGAATTCACCGAGAAAATGTCTCAATAGAGGCAGTCGTGGGAGAAGATATTTCATTTTGTTAGAGATATTCTTCCATAAATTCCAAAAATTCATAGAAAAAGTCAACAGAATTCGATTTTTCTATAGAATTTCCTCGACTTGAATTTTCCAAGTTTTTTTAATTCTATTTTTCTCTTTTTTTCATCAAGAAAAAACTTGGAAAATTTGCGCCGAAGAAATTCTATAGAAAAAATGTCAATAGAATACAACAATTGATTAACTTTGAATAATCACCAATAAAATAAAAAAAACGTTAAAGAATCCTGTTGTTTTTTTCTATAAAATATTATCTATTGAACTTTTCAATCGAATCCGTCAAAAACTAATAGAAAGTTCAATAGAACTGTGCAGCGAATTCGCTAGGTTCTCTATTCAATTTTTTCTTATTAATTTTTTTGTTCACTTGAATTCCGTTGTGATTAACTTTCCCATTAAATCATTGAATACGAAGATATTGAATGGATGAAATGTTCGAGGAGAAAAGCCACTTACTGATGGCCTGAGTGCCGTAAACACTCGGATAAGGCATTCTCCCGTTCTGCTCAGCGATGTATCGGTTCCTCGCGAGGAAGTGGAGTGTCGTTTGGCTGTCAATACTGTCTCTCTGTCCCCAGAATGAATCAGAAGCCTCCGCCAACTTCTCCGGGGTCGGTTGGGCCCCCAGACCATTCAGAACCAGTCTCGATCGGCCCCCCTCCCCCTCTCCATTCCTAGAAATCGAAAATTCAGAGATGATTCCCCAAAAAATTGAAATTTTCGGTCAAAACTGAAATTTTGAGGAATGAAAAAAAGTGGGAAATTGTGAGGGGAAATTTATTAATATCGATTCGAAGGCTTGGGATGATGATTAGTGACACATGCATGGTACAATCGATACCTGGAGGACAAGTTTGTGCTCTGGCCAGCGACGTACCGAGCGACACTGAGGTAATGCTGCTTCGCTGACACTTTCCTCATATTCTTCGGGTTCGTCTGGGCGTTGTTCCAGTTTCTGGAGGGCAGAGACTCGTTCCAGGCTGGAGTCACCCAACTGGCGTTCAACTGCTTCTGATTTTCAATTCCGTACTCCTCGTTCCAACTCACTCGGTTCTCTTTGTAGACGCGATCTGATACGAGTTTGGCACTCGTGTTATCAGAAAGAAGTTTATTTCTGTGGAAAATTGAGTGATGAGTGACAATTTGTCTATGGAAAAAGTCAATAGAATTCGATCTTTCTATGCAACTCACTCGGTTGAGATATTTTCTACAGAATCTCCTCGGCTCAATTTTTTTAATTTTTTTTGTTTCATGTTCTTGATGAAAAGAGAAAAAAATTGAATGAAAAAAACTTTGAAAAACTTTGAAGAATATGTTGCATCGAACAATCGAATTCTATGGACTTTTTCTATAAAATATTTTCTATTGAAAATTTCAATAGAATTGTCTAGCGAATTCGCTGGAATTTTTTATTAAATGTTTTCCCGCGTGAAATTCTCAAATTTTTATTCAGTTTTACGTGGCCCTGCAGTCTCCAAAAATTATGAATGTACAATCGAAAAAACGTTTCAAAAATCAAAGTAGAACAAGTCTATCGAAAAACACCGGAGGAGATTGCATAATAATAAAATTCCTGGAATATGAGGTATTAAAAAATAAGTAGAAGAGTCCTCCTTAAACAATTAGCAATCGCCTACCCCAACGAATTAATATATTCCTCATCCTCCCAACTTTGCAGGCTCTCCCGTTTCCTATTGTGATTCAAAAGTGGCAAGACCGGCTGCACCTGCACCGGAATTTTCTCCATCGCCCTGGACTCCATGATATTCCTGTTGACATCCTGATTGAAAGTCGATCCAGGGGGCGGGAAGTTCACTTTATTAATCGCCATCTCCCTCTGGGCATTCCCCAGCTTCCGCCCGCTGACGGATCTCGTGGCGTTATTCACCTCGAAATAGGGGTACCTACGGATGCAATGGAAACAACTGACTGACCAATTTACCGTCATTTTACGCGTAAATTATTAATGACACAAACTAATTAATGACGTTATTTTTATTCTTCAAAGTATTATTTTAATCACAGTTCTGAGAGAATCCGCAAAATTAAATGACCGAAAATGACAAAAAAATGACTGAACACAAAAATGACGGTTTTCA